CTGAGATTTAAAATATGGTCTTATATCCTATATGTCAGCACTGACTAAGTATTTACATAACCAGTCATAACACCTAAGCATTCACAGGCTGTAGTGAAACTGCACTCACATGGAAGTATCGTTGGTCTGGGGTACAGACAAACAAGGTTGAGAATGACCTACAGGAAGTATCTGATCAAACCAGGTGCTAAACCTAGAATCCCTGCCTAGTTCCTGAACCACAGTCCAATCCTCCTTTCTTAAACATAACACTGTTCCCTCACTCATGATGAAGTAGAGAAACCACAGCTCCACTTCTGGGAAACCTTCATCCTCCTGAAGGAAGGCCCTGCCCTGTGCTGGTGGGAGCCAGCACCTACCTGGGCAGCCCTTGCAGATTCTGGTTGGCTTTCTTTCTCCTTTTCTTTGGAAAGGAACCTGGATCTCTGCCATTTGTCTCTCATATGCATTAATTTGACTCTGCAAATCCACAATATAGCTCAGAGCCACTCAGCACATCCCAGATGACCAAGCCCAGCAGGGACACCAAATACCGTATTGGCTGTATCCTCAGTACACGGCATGTGCACACCAATGAGATATTGTTCCAGAGAAGTTTTATATGTATACTATTCCTCCCCAAGTGCCATCAGTATTTTCTTTAGCTATAAGCCACCATAATAACTACATATGTAGAGTAACAGAGACAGCCATTTTAAGTTTTTGAGGTGCCTCAGCTTCACAGTGACTGGATTTCTAAGGATTTGCATTTCTAATCAAGTATGACGGTTTTTTTTGTCGTTGTTGTTTGTTTGTTTTTTTATGTAAAGTTTATATGCAACTTTTACTTTGCAACTGTTGCATATGTTTGGAACAGAAGAATATTTTGATTAGCTTTCCTATGATCATTATATAATCATGCAATTCTGAGCATGTTTTTTAAATGGTTGTATTCCTTCAGCAAACAAATGCATTAATCACGGTTCCCTCCTAACAGGAAATAGCAAATGAGAACAGAGAATAAAGTGAAAAGTTCAGACTATGAACTGTTGTCTCAGCAGACTGAATAAAGCCAAATAAATATATGCTAGACAACAGCCATTCTGAACTTACTGAAGGGTGACAACAGGTCTCTTCAGAAAAATAAAAATAACCTTCTCTAGCAAGATACAAAACCTCTATCAAATAACAGATAGACAACTTACAATGTACTATAGTTATAGTCCTTTTAACAAGAAGAATTAAGAGATAGTCCCAGGAAAAATTAGTAACACAACTGATGAGATAACATACTTTATTTTGCCCTCATAGTTAATATACTAGAATCACTGTGTCCAGGAGGCTAAGGGTTGTCTATATCTGTATCAGTATACCTCTAATATTCATACAAAGATAATTCTTTTACTGACTTCAAGCTGAAGTCTAAAATAAGCATGGCCTCTATTCTTGCAAAACTGAAAAAATCGTATCAAAATAATTTCAGGAGGACTGGATTTTTATCTGTGCCCCAAATAGGGCACAGGGAACACTCCCTAGCAGTGATAAACATAGATGGAGCCTATGACTTAGGAGCTTGGAAACACCGGTTTTACAGGCTTCCCATATTACCTTTTCAAATCACTTCTATGTCATGTTGAATTTGATGCCACCAGATATGGTACAACGCCCTCCAGTAAGAATTTAGGACACCAACACATTACTCAGTTTTCTTAAATGGACAACAGATCTTAATATTTCTGAAATGTCTCCCTAGAATGATCTGATCTCTTTAAAAGATCACCAGAAAGAAGAAATGGGAATGCAGAAAATGGTGTTACATTGATGCTTCAGGGCTTACTACTCAGCATCTTCTCTCTCTCTCTCACCTAGGTGGCTTCAAAAGTGAACAAAACTTGCTGTGCCAGGCTCATACTTGCTGAAAGAGGCAAGTATTTTAAGTTGGGAAAATACCCAAAGGCTCTACCCTTTAAGATCAAAGCTTCACTGGGTCTAGGCACAGTAAGCACATAATGAGAGAGAATTCTTGTGTTGTTTATAATTACATGAGAATAAACAGCCACAAGAATAACAAGAAAGGAACAGAAGCATCTTGCCCAAAGCCAAACAGTAAATTCAAATGTAGAGTTTGAGGCAGACTCTAGACCTGGCCAGAACAATGAAGAGGCAAATATCTTTTGTGGATAAAGAGAAAAGGTGCTGATTCTTCATACCTGTGTCTTATCAGTCTTTAAATATATTCTCTGAGAAGTGAGAAAGTGACAGGAGAAAGATATTAGGGTAGGAAAGAAAGAGAGAAAGAGAGAAAGAGAGAAAGAGAGAAAGAGAGAAAGAGAGAAAGAGAGAAAGAGAGAAAGAGAGAAAGAGAGAAAGAGAGAAAGAGAGAAAGAGAGAAAGAGAGAGAGAGAGAAAGAGAGAGAGAAAGAGAGAGAGAAAGAGAGAGAGAAAGAGAAAAATATCTCCATTAACAAATGAGGTTAATGGAGACAGGAATGCATTGCCCCCTGTCTCCCAGATAACCATTCTGTGATTTCTGTGATCTAATCATGAATTCCAGAAGTGAAATTAAAAATATTAATTCACTTCCCATTAGACTGTGCATGTTTTTCTTCCCTGTGTATAGACCTTGAAGAAACCCCCAATGATGCCTCCTTTCTCTCTAAGTGGTGTCCAGAAGTTTTCTATGCACCTTTGATTGGCTAACCTGCCAAAATGGTAAAAACAGCTAAAAAAAAAAAAAAAAAAAAAAAGCCAAAGAAGTTAACAGATGATGAAACTTTGGGCCCCAAATTGGTTTAGCTTCCATTCTTGTACAAGTAAAGCTAGGTTCTAGATGGTCTACAGCAGTGAATATGTTAAAATTGCATCTACAAGTCTCAATAGCTTTAGGGTTAGACAATACAAAAATTAATATACTAGTCTTTTCTTCTCTAACTAACTGATGATAACTGATGAAACGTTACTTTGACCAAGGAAACAACCAGAGAAGAATCCCACAGAAGAGAAGGAATGACTAATTTTCTCTGTGTGGGTTTAAGTCATCTCTAAAATGACCTGGATTTTTGTAAAGAGATGTCAGAAAAAGAACAACAGTGGTAAATACTGGGAGATGAGGGAAGAATAATGGTTTTGACAAATAACTTTGAGGAAAGACCTAGTAGTCATGTTGATGTATTGAGTGATCACATCTGGGGAAGAAGTAGGAAAGAGATGGATAAAACAGACAGAAGGACACTGAACCTTGGCTGGTAAACAGAGGTAGGAGAAGGCTGCATACTATTTGGGAACTAAGGTTTCTTTTGAGGACTAGAGACTCCTGGAGTGCTGGTATTCTTGAGTGTTAGAGCAGGATTTTATCCTTGCAGATACCCCTGAAATGAAACCTGACTTGTAGTGTTGTGTTTTGTTAGCTTGCCTTTAAGCCCGCTAATGAAACAGTATCATATCTGAAGCAAGCCAGCTCATTTCCTCTACAGAATTGTAATACAGTAAAATTGTGGGCCAGGTAAAAAAGACCTGCAACAAGCCAGAAAAAATGATCTCTCTGGAAGAGAGCAGCCATGGGCTCATACAAGGCTTTTTGGTCCTGCCCTAAACCCACGACCTCTGGAACATACTGAAGATACGAAGAGCATACACTGTGAGGACACAATTTTTCTTTTTGTCTCAGGAACTTCAAGCATATTGTAAAAGTACCAGTCTCTCCTGGAGAGTTGTTCTGTGCATGATGGTATCTTCTCTTCTAAAAGCAAATATCTCCTGGTCACTGCTCACCCCAGCCTCAGCAGTTCCTTCTGGTACCGTGCCATGAGAACTGTTCCTCCCACTCAATTCTCTTTTGCAAAGCCGTCAACAACAGAGCCCTGCACTGTTATGAAACTACTAGTTTCAGGCTGAAAGAACGCAAATCAAGCCATTATCAGAAATAATGAGTGAAAATTAGCCTGACAACCAGCCACCACAAAGAAAGAGACAGCTGAACTGTTGGCACATTCCTGAGACGAAATGAATAAATAAGCTGATAACAAAAGCAATCATCAGATTGTAATCTTCTGCAAAACTAGCTCCTTGCTGTTTGGAATAGCAAAGTTATTCATAAAAAATAGTATCTAAGAACAGATCACAAACTTTTAAATTTAAATGTAAGATCATTCAATAATACAATTTTATTCTGCTGGAACAAGATTTAATTCTTAGAGAATGTATACATCTTCTGTAAATCTACAAACATAATTCTGGAATATTGCTTCATTTTGCAAGATTGCATTTATAAAGGCTACAGGGGATAATGACATGGTTATCACTAAGTCTTAATACGTGGTAGAATCCAGCCCTATCTCATTACACTGCTATAAATAAGGTTTCAAAACTCATTGCTTCCTACAAACACCATTCTGTGGACTCAGTGACCACAACCTCCTACTTATTTCATGATGGTTAAGGGAAACACACACACCTTACATCTCAATCACAGGAACCTTTTTTTAATTTTACATGGCTAATTATTCATAATGTTTTTATTAGACTGTTCATAATTCAAGATTTGCTGATTGTTAGTTAATTTTTTACTTGAAATTGAAATGATTTCCAGTTTCTGTTCTAGAAACTGTTCAGATCAGAACCAATGTACTTATTTTTAATAATACTGCAATTTGTGATAGCTGTAGGAGATGTACTACCACTAAGCAGAGCAAACGAATTAAAACCAACACGGTGAGGGGAAGATACTTCAGCCAAGGTCAGCTGGCATTCTCTGGCAGGATAAAAGGCTTCTTGAATTTTGTTTAAACACATTCAAAAGTTATTAAAAATTAAATTCACACATACTTTCATATCGTTTCTTGCTGCAGGGCTCCTTCAAAATACCTTTGAAACAAATGAGAATCACGTGCTTCATTTTAATTTTTTTTGCCGGCATATGCTACACTACCTTACAGAATTTGCCTGCAAGTGTTGTTTTGTCACACATTATTCAGAACAAAGTGAGAGAAAGATTTAAAACATTAACAGAAAGATCAGCCTACCTTCTTTATTCTTCAGAAGGAAGCACACTAATTCAGAGATATGTGCTCTGTAGCAGAAGGAAGAATGAAGTGATCCGTAGAGTTCAGAGTGACTTCAGTGTGATTCCAGCTGCTTCACTTAGCTACTGCCTTCCTTCTAATAAAGCTGCAGAATGACATAATGACGTGTTTGTTTTCAGCTGTGAGGAAGTTGTTTCCAACTTCCCTTGGTTTCCTAAACCCAGTTTTGAAATATTGCCCTTCTGTATAATCCCACTATTTCACCAAAATAAATGTTAGACGTGAATGAATCATTTTGGCCAATGTCCACGCAAGCAACAGATGTGGTGGCTGATGAATGGAAATGGACTTTACAGTTGCAGGCTGCTTTTTGTTATGCAGAGAAGAAGCTGAACAGTATTTCTCTGTTTCTGACAACTCTGGTTTATAGAAAATAATGTTGAATGAGCAGATAGATACTGAAAAAGCTACACCAAAAGTATCGCTTTGTAAGTGCATGGTGAGATACGTTCATTTATGTATTTATGATCAGTAGCTTCATCTCCTTTTGTATGTAAGAGAGAAGTGGGCTTCTCAAACCACCAGCCGAAGTCCCCTTGCCCATCAGTCAGTGCAACTCTGTGGTCAGACATTTAAACTGCATTTTAGGAGACTTGGCTTGAATCCCAGTTCTGTCAAGAGCCTACTGAGTGTTTGTGGTCAGGCCTCATGATCCCCATGAACCTTAGTTTCTCAGTCAGTAAAATGGGAATATTATTCAACTAGTATGTACATACCATAGCTTCACCTGATTCTGATGTTACTACACTCATCATACCATTCACTCCTTCCAGCAAAACTACCCTGCTTTGTCTTTCCTCCATGCCAGCTCTTCCTGTCCCACCAATATAACTTAAAATGCTGATAGCTTGTATGTGAAGGGAGAAAGTATGAATGAAAAGAGGACGGAGATTATGCTATAGTGGGACACAAGTGTCCCTGGACCAGGATGAAATGACAACAAGGGGACATGATGTCTGTGAATATGTAACATAGGAGGCAGACTACAGGATTGCTTGAAGAAAGAGCACAGAATTACTTGAAGACATCATGATTTGGCACCTAACTTGTCTATTTCTTTCTGTTTAAAGATTTCCTCTTTTTTCTAGGTAACAGATAGGTGAAACTTGATGAAAACTAAAAGCAGTTTAATAGTAGCTCTCTCTCTCTCTCTCTGGTAAATATTGGGATAGGGTAAACGTAGGCACTATTTAACTGCAGATGTGCAGAAAATTTTGCTTGTAATGGCACATGAGTCTGTCTCCAGGTACTTTGCCAAATGCAGTTAATGTAAGGCAGTTAATTCAAGGGCTCACTCAGCACTATTTCAGTAAGACAAAAGTGAAAATTACTGGGTAGAAATGCTCAGACATAGTAAAAACTGGAATGATAAATCCAAAATTACATAGTTTAATATATACTTGCATGCAACTCATTAACCATGGATCTTTTTACCAGTGTGATCTTTTCAGATATTTTTGAATGTTATAAGCTTGGAAGAAAGTTAATGAAAAAAATGCACCTTATTTGCTTTTATGTCTTCTCCTTTTTCTACTTGATTGTATTTTATTTATTTTTATTTAATGAGGTTTAGGAGTTTTAACTCTATACATTTGGGTAAGTGTGACAATATGCCAGTGTTGTTCTGAAGTGGGGCATGCATTCATCAACATACAATGCATGTAGGACTTGCAGAAAGACAGTAATTTCTACCTGGTTAAAAAAGAACAAGGAAGAATATTTTCATACAAATAACAGATGTTGGGTTGTCCAGCAGTGAATAAACTAGGTTTATTGAAAAGCAAACTAGTTTTAAAAATACTTCTGATTCTTTATTGTTAAACCCTATAAAACAAACCAAAAGCAGAGAATGGCCTTCAGAAAAAAATACCAGTATTAAACTAAAGCACAAATTACAAACCAACTAACAAAACCAGCTTTAATTTACCCGGATTACAAACAATTGTCTGATAGTTCCGATAATTATTTCCCACTGTAGCACCACTGGGTTTTATCAAGATGCATATTAGTATGTGCAGATAATCCCAGCATTGAAGAATACTCAATGACTAAACCCAATTTGCATTAATTCAATTAAGTCATATCAACCACGAATTTCTAAATTAAGTCTAACAAAATATATTTAGTTTTTCACACTTTCAATTAAACTGAACAAGAGAAGAAAGAAAGAAACTACTTACCGTTTGAGGATTCAGCTATTTACAGTTGTTTGTTTGTTTTAATTCTTCCCTGTTCCTTTGTCATTACTTTTTGAATTAACACCTCATGGATTAAAATCCACTCTGGAAAGACAGATTTTAACTGCCTGACAATTGGGATCAGGAAAAGTGTAATTTCCTCTCTTCCTGTGAAACTAATGATTATTCACGCCTATCCTTTTGGTAAAGCTGTAATGTTTACTTGTGGCTTAACTGTGCACTATGTCCCATAGTCAGCAACTATGACAACATTCTCCAACGACACATTTAAACCAAACTAGCTGGTGAAGAGAAGTTTGGCTCATTTAGGAAGGTCTGTATCCTTTTTCTATGCAGATTTTAGAAACTTGAATATTTTCATGCATAATGTGTAAAAGATATTCAACAAATGTGCCAAAGGCAAAATTATTCATTTAGCTGTTACTTTGGTCTGGTAAAAACACACAAGTGTAGAAATGAATTACTATATGTGGGTGTATACATATAAAATGTATATACATACAAGTTGGAGAAGGATCTGTAGAAGCAGCACTCCATGCAACTCCTGCAAACACAAAGAACAGTGTTTCATTCTATGAAATCATTAATATTAGATAGTAATTTACAAAGTGAATGAAAAACATATATTTTGATGATTAAGATACCTTGAAAAAATACTATTAGAAATAGCCTGTTTCTCATAGTTTGCTTTTATACTTGCACATTTTCCTCCCTTTGTAAAAATAAATAGGAATGTTTTTCTACATAACTTTTAGACCATAGCTATCCAGATTTTGTATTCACGTGACAATAAAATAAGAGATTATATCTGCCACTTTGATAATAGTTGACATTAATGGAATTTTCAGAGTGCAGCAATGTGAACATTTTGATATGTCATTGACAACTAAAGATAAGTTACTGTTATTCGATGACTGTAAATAGCCAACTTGACAGCATTTTTTTTCCATTTTAGCCAAAGTTCTGTCTCCTTCCATACAAAGGAATGCTGTTTGGAATAAGTTCAGAATAAAGCTTATAGAGAGAACTAGAGAGTAATAGAGAACTACTGAGATTACAGAAACAAAAGGCAAAGTGAACTATAGTTGTTTTACTATGTATTTCACAATCTTCAGTACTACTGTAGGAATGAATCAAGTTGCACATTTTCACCTTACATAAATTAACAGGAACCACAGAGTTACTCAGAGATCTTAGGAAACAAATGCTTAGAAAGGAAGCCAGAGTTCACTGTCATGCATCTAAGGCACCCTGGATTTATATCCTTTATGGATTGAGTCATATGTCTCAAAAACTGCCCAAAACCAAACCAGGCTAGGTTAGAAAAAACCCAAAGCACAGAGATGAACCTGAGCCACACCAGAATTTTAGCTACCTCCATCTACCCGAGATCCAAGACACCAGTATAGCTGCCTACACCTATTCTTCCAAAGAACTTAAGTCTTATTTTCCATTTAAAATATAAGTCCTGAAGGTTCAGTTATCCATCTTTTATATAACAGGTCTTTTGATTAAAAACACAAATCCAAAATTCAATTTGGGATTGTATGGGTATTGTATTATTAATGGGATTATATCCTGGTGAGACACACAACAGACATGACTCTCACCTAGGAGGAAATTTAATTTCATGTACTGCAATCATCCATTAACAACTCACAGCTAAATTGTTGAAGTTTGTCGTGATGAATAACAATGTAGAAAATAAGCAGGTTCATAGGGAGGAGAGGATAACAAGTATCAGTCTGCACTAGACTGGATAACAAGTACACCAGTCTGCAGTTAGACTGTTGCTCCTAGCTACTGTGCTAGCTGTGACAGAACTGCTCTGAAACACTAAAAAAAAAAATGCAAGCAGCAAAACTGAAGAGGAGTTCTTGTCACCTGCAAAAACACACAGCAAAGCTGAGCTTCAGCACAAAATTAAATACAGCTCCCTGAAAAATACATACTAACAGGCTGGGTGTCCATATAGCACACATGGGTGATCAAGTAAAGTTGCTGCTTTGCAGCATTACTACTCAATATCTTAACCAAAAGGCACATCTACATATGGAATTGTGGAGCCTGCTGGTTACCCTCTACAATACTGTCTAACCATTGACATTCCTTAGGATTCATGGAGATGCAAAGGCTTTAAACTGGACAGTAGCTCCTTGCAAACAAATGGAAGATGGTTCCTGAAATCTAGTGCAAAGCCAGTGCTAATCAAGTCCAAATCAAGCTCAATCAACTATGCATGCTCTTAGTGTCTGTGGTCAGTGGTTTAAGCACATATTCATTTGTATTTTTAAAAGTTGCTTTTAATAGTCAGCTACATTCGTCAGATTGTTTTTCTGCTTAGTGGATGTAAATGCCTTTTGTGAAAGGTGCCAGGTGACCTTGACTCCTCGGGTATTTAGGTTATTTATCCATAGCAATGAATGTGAGACAGGGAGAAGCAATGCGAGCTCTGCTTACTGCTCTGCATTTGCCCTCTCCTCTGATCACTCCCCAGAGAGAAAGCGTAGTTTTGCTTCTACAGCCTACCCAGCCCTCAGCCTCTCTAATGAGAAGGGAGCTGATAAATTCCAATAAGCATGCTGCTTGTGATAAAGGTAAAGCAAATTATTAGAAGCTCTGAAAAATGCTTTGGTATTTAAGAGCTCAGTTTTCTGTATGAAGTCCATATTAACTCTTCCACTGCCTTCAGAGAAAGCAAAATTAGCATCATCTCTAATAAATTAAGAATTGGCTCAGGGAAGTAACCACAGGAAACCAATTCAACCAATGAGGCATCTAAAAAAACCAGCATTTATTTGTCCATTCTAGTTCCTTAAGCTGCATCAAGATGCACAAAGGTTAATTTTAACTTCTTATTAATTCACAATTATTATTTTTTAAGAAGACTATGAGCACCAAATTCAGCACTTAGCATGAACTTGACAGTAGAATTTATGGGAATATAGAGACTAGAATTGCCACATTTTCTGTAAAGGCAATATAAGTAGCTACTTGTCTTTTCAAGCTTATTAATTTCAGCTATAACCGGGGGCATATCACAGATCTTCTGCAACAATGAAAAATATATTCCAGTTTCCTGAAGATACTACTGAAATCATTTGAGGAAGAGAGGAACAATTTTTAAAATGTTTAGAAGCCTACAGCTCTGCTGTCTGTCATTCAAGAACAAAAGAACCCAGCACTGCCTTGCCATGAGAAAGCAGAGTTTGGTACAACACGGCTCAGACACTAGTGGCTGAATACTTTGCTGTAAGAACATTTTCTTGCTGTGCATCACACATCCCACAAGATGGGAAAACAGGCAAAAGGCATAGCTTGGGTCCAAAACAGAAACTGAACCCGAGTTACTTCAGTATTACAAACATAGACCGTCAGACAACATGGAATAAATTTTTGTTTTTATTGATGGACCAGAAAACAGAGACACTCTGATCCCAAGAACTACTACGTTTCCAGTAATAGCATACAAAACGCTGAAGAAACACAAACCATATAAAAAAAGCTTTTTGTTCAAAAGGTCTTTTTCTTTCTCCATGTTCAAAAATTTCCATCTTTATATTTTCCGACTATAAGAGAGAAAGAAACCTCTTTCTTTCAAAGGCTGCTGTCTTTGCTTATCAGTGTTGCTAGACTAAAACTATGTTTTGTCCTTGGAAGAAAACAGAACTTCTCTATTCTACCTCATTTAACTTCCTGATTTTTTTTTTTTTTTTTTTTTTTTCTCCTGAATAGGATAAAGAAATCTTTCTTCAAATTATTCCTGAGGTAAAGCAAGGTTGAGAGTCTGCTTGCTCTCAGATGTAAGAAAGGTCTTTATGTGGTTTATTGTGGGAACAGAAAAAAAATATATATTTTTTTTAGAGCAGCCAATGTAGGGGAAAAGAACGCTCATTTAACTATCTTGGGAATGTATTTTGACCCCATCTTAAATTGGCTGCAGAACATCCACTGACTCAACATAATAGGATATACTATTTGCAATTCCTTGACTCTATAAATTACACTATGGACAAAGAAGCTGCAGAGGCATTTTACACTCAGGGTCATCTTACATTCATCTGCATCTATTTAAAACTGGAACAGATCCATTAAAACTGATGGATATAAACATTTAATTCAGAACATTCAATGGAGGCAAGGCAAGTAGTCAACTTCTGGGAGTCTGAAAATTGAACATTCTAGAAAAAGAGAATTAATAAACCTCCAAGAAGCTTTGAGAAAATTACCTCTATTGGAAATACATTATTCCCTGCCTGTATAACGGGAATTAATATTTACTTTTGTGAAAATGCCTCGGAGTTCCTACTGTGATAAACAGTGAGGTGAGCTAGAATTCACCTACCGTTAGTCATCTACCATTCTTTTTTAAAATATCTCAAGAAACTCACATTAGCTCCTCCTACAAAACCTGCATTAAGTCTGTGCCGATACCTATATTAGAAAAGAGGATGGTTTCAAACATGCCAATCAAAACATTTTGCCACGCAGATGAGAATAACTCTGTTCTAAGTGTGTTTCACTCCCCTCATCTGGCTGTGGTTAATACTAGAACCTACAGTTCTTTCTCTTTCCTTCATAGCTGAAGGCTGTCAAGTTGTATAGCTCCCTTCAGCGTGGGGGAATGAAGTCACGTTTCTACTTTCCACAGCATTTCTAGCATATACCTTTCCAAAATTACTGTATATTTCACAGTAATTTGGTAATGAACAACCATACTTGAAAATGCTGTCAGTTCTCACGGGCTGATCTGACTATATCAATCAGGGAATTTGATACTGTGTCATTTTTGAAAATAAATATAAAACAAAAATAAAATAGAATTAAGAAATTAAAATGTAGGGACCATTAACACAGTCCCTTGGCATTAAGGGACTATTATTTCTGAAGCTAAAAATAATTCCATGCACAAGGTGAAGGTGAAAGAATATCCTGCAATTCATGATCAGTCACCAGTGGAGGCCCCCAACCTACTTCCTGACCTAGTCCTGTTCTTTGTGTCACATTTCTAAAAACAAAGGCTCAGTTATTTCTGAGGGATGAACTGGCTGAACAACTATTAGCAGAACGCAGAAATAACTGTGCATGCAATTCTAAACTATTTAGCATTTTACGATGAACAATGCATTCTCTGAAAAAAAAAAAATTCTTTCAGGTTACAAACGGGAAAGCGATCTGGAGGTGAGAATTTCCCCTTTACTTTAACTCCAGTTAATTTTATTTGGCTCCACAAGGGGGCTGCCTGGAGACCAAGACAGCATTTTCCCCGTGTTCTCCTAGGTAGCGTGGTTATTTGGGTCCAGTAAAAAAAAATTTACTGGAGTTATGCAGTAAGGAGTAATGCATACTAACCTCTCAACTGCTGCTTTAATTTCTTAGCAGAAATTCTCTTCTGAATTCCTGTTTTAGGACAGTGTCCTATAAACATGTTAAGCTAAGCTATTGGAAGTGTTTAAAACAATTGAGCAGTGTTAGGGTATGATTTTGAAAAGTAAATTAAAAAAATAATAATTAAGAACATTAGCAGACCATTATGCAGAAATTTTCTGAAAATGCTGAATTCTAATAAATTCTATAGCCTCACTGTTTAGTGACACATTTTGAGCTGTCTCATCAGCTGTTCCTTCTGGATGATTTGCCAGCAAACAAGCAGCAACAGCAGCTGTAACAGCAATAATAGGCTCTGGAATGAGCACAAATACCAGACAATGTTGCTCAGCGTTATTATAATCAAGATCTCTGTAATCTCTAAAGTACATATGTACAAAAATACGTTATTCAGAGCAATTTTAGTGCAAGAAATGAGGAGTTAATCTAATACCCCATATATTTGGGAAGTTCTTCTCACTAACTCTGATAAAGTTGTTAGTTTAAAATTTAGGGAACTTTTGCTTTCTACACTTAAGAGGAATTACTCCTTTCTACATAATTCCAGTGATTACAAAAGAGATAAAATACCACAGAATATCAGATCACTCCTCTGTTTAGCCTGATATCTGATATTGAGCAGTAGCCAGCAGCAGGTTCTTTAAAGATATCAAAATTTCTTGAATTTTTCACTTCTTAGTAATTAAAGGTTGCAATATTATGCCATGTATTATGGAACACTCCTTCCACTACGGAGTTGAAGAGATCCCCCTTTCCCAAGCCTACTCAGAATTGAAGTGCCCTACAATCTATACATGTTATTTATTGGACTATCTTAAAATTTGCCATACTTTTTACAGTCCGGGCTAGGTCTAGCAATGCACAACTGTGGACATTTGGCAGAAATACTCTCTGCATTCTTCAAAGCCCAGCCCTCAAATGCTGTTGAGTCATTCAACCTTTTGCTCAGATCCTCTGAACAATTTTACCAAAACAACAATTCAAGAATAAATTAGGCTTTTAAAATCACAATGGAAAGCAGATATACAACAATCTAAAAATCTAGGCAAGTTTCCTTCCTGATAGTTTTATCAACCTTGATTTTCATTTGTTATATTCTCCCTTTACTAGCTGAAGCATGCTGCTGGAAGAAATTTGAGACGCTAATTTTTAGGAAAATATCTATTGATTGTCAGAAGCTACTTTTTTCTTAATTTATTTTTTTTTCCAGAGGTATAACCTTGACATGCATTTGGCTAACAGGAGCAGAAAAGCATATCAAATCATAAAGCATATCAAAAAGCAAAAGTAAACAGCAAAGCACTGAAAGCTATGTGGGACAGTTTATGCAAACTTGATAGATGATACCAGGAAAGGGAAAAAAGTGGGATGCTTGGATCAAAAAAGAGTAATTTTTAAAAGGCAAAAGGAAGTTTCTCAGCCTTGCTTTAATGTTCAAGCACATGTGTGAGGAGGAGGTTAGCTGTTCCTATAGAGAAGAGAAGAACAAAGGGATCTTTCTTAATACCTTACCTGAGCTCAAATCAAATTGCAACCTCAAGTCGATAAATACAAAAAGAGTTGGAAGGCAAGAAATGGCAGAATTTAGGCTTGTGATGTCCGGTATCTTTGATCAATAGTCCAAAAGATAGAATATTCCAGTCTAACCTTGCAAAAAATACACAGGAACATTCCAAGGGCAAGATACACGGCACTGTGGGACAGACTCTTCAACCTTCTCTTTGTCAGAACTTGAGCTACACTGAAACCTCTGACAGGTAACTGAGCTTACTTTGTTTCAACAAGTTATGAAGGGATGGTTGGTGATCCACATTAACTCACAAAGCTTGCTGCAAACCCATCACAAAGGTAATCTATTTTAGCCTGAGATAACTTGTTTCAAAGCGTCTTAGCCACAGCAGGAGTACACACCTTCAAACACCTCAACTCTGCAGACAAGAAGTAATTTGGGCATGTGCCTGAGCTTTCACATACGCAAATCTTCTCCACAGAAATACTGCATCTGCAAGATTTTATGACTGCTTTTTACAAATCTCCACTCCTACACACAGGATTTCTAGCCTTTCACTTGTCCATCACTGAAATCAAAAATTATTTCCATGTTACTGAAGTGACTGATTCCCCCCACATATGCTTGTATCACAGTCTTATGTCTTTTAAGATGCCTCAGCTAATCCACCATCTTATTCATTTATGTCCAACAAAATAAATGTAACTAGAATGAGTAAATAATGATTAACAGATCCTGTCAGCCTTAAGAGGCATAAACACTATGCTATACGTACCTCAATGTTGTATCCCCCACCTTTTTAATCAGTTTGAGCTTTGCCAAGTTCTGTGTTAAACCAGGCAACAAAATATCACCAGGCAACTTAAATTCTGCCCTAGCTTCTTTGTTGGCAATGAAAATATCTCTATATCCATTCACATATCAAAATAATTCAACGGCAGTTAAGGCAGTTTCCCTGCTAAAGAAAAGCCTTCTCCTGCTGTTCTCCCATTTGTGACTTTTTGTGTTCAATTACTCGTTCAGCGTGGGTGGACACTTCTAAGCTATGGTTTCATAATCACACAACAGCAGCCCCTTTTTACAGCAACCTCTGTTTAAATCTTCCTTATTATGCTGAACTCAACTTCTTTTTTCTCCCCATTGCACAATCCAAGCCTGCATCTGCACCTGTCTTCACACATAAGTGGCGATAATCTTTGCATCTGCCCAGATTGCTTAAAAAAAAAATCCTGCTTCTTCAGCATAATACGAGAGAAACGTGCAATAGCTGCTTTCCCACAGGAGATTAGATAAACACTTAATACCTACAACTGAAAACAAAAGATAACGTGAGCTGTGGTCGCATTTAGATTCCCATTCCTGAGGGAAACAAAACCTTTTCCTTTTGTACGGAAAGCGATCTGGCATTAGGTCAATCCAAAAGCCAAACCAAGACTTTTTGCTCTGTGCTAGGAGCCAGCTACCGTGCGACCGCTGCTCCCCGCCATGAAGCCCGCCGGGGCTGAGGGGCAGGCGGGGACGCGAGCGGGCGGAGCGAGGCGCTGAGGGGACGGCGCTGAGGGGAAGGCACCGCCCGCCGCCCCGGAGCAGGAAGCGGGGGATGGCGGCCCCTGACCCCGGCGCGGCACGGAAGAGCTTGCGGGGAAGGGACGGAGGTGAGGCGGTGCCGGGGGGCGAGCCGGGCGGCGGGCGGGCAGGGGAGGGGCCGTTGGGGCCAGCCCGGGCGGGCGTTAACGGGCGTTAACGGGCGTTAACGGGCGGCGGTTGCGGCGCCCCCTCAGCCCCCCGCGCGGGGCGGGCGGAGCGCTGCGAAGGCGGCGGGGCCCGGCCCGCCTCGGCTCGCTGCCGGCCCCGGCGCTGCCCGCCGGCCCCGGGGGGGGGACGGGGCGCGGAGCCTGAGGCGGCCCCGCAGGGAGCGGCCGCCCCCGGGGCGCTTCCCCCGCGCTGCCTCAGCGAGCTCGGGTAGCGGAGGCGCTGGGGAGGAGCGGTTCGGGCCGGCCCCGCTGCTCCTTCGGAACTTGTCGGCACGAGGCTTGCTCTGAGGCCGCCGATGCGCTGTCCAGATGCGCTGCTGGCTCTTCTTTGTGTACGTTTCGTGCCTTTTGTTGGTGTTCAGATGCAAGGGGCATAAACTAAACTTATGGCTAGAAGGATCTATGAAATCAAATGCTGCTGCGTGGAGCCAGTTGCTCTTACATTCACAGTTTACATTTTTTTACCAGTGTTAAAGTGTTTAAATGAAAAATTATACAAATTATTTTTTAATCCATCAGTTTAAGATATTTACATTCGGAATACTCTTAGCAAAGCCTGCAAATCTGAAAAATCCTTTGTGCATTTATAGATGTAGTGTCTGCTTTGATAAAGTAAGGATTGCAGTCAGGCTTGCCAGATTTTATTAGTATAAATAAGGCATCTACATAGGATGCGTCCTGTACGTTACTAGGCCATGATTTGAGCTTGCCCTCAGATGCCAGGTAGGATCTGTGTCCCTTCAGATTTTCAGCTTGTTCTGCTCATCAGGGTTCTCACAAAACACAGAGATGAGGAGAATGTTTTTTTGTCTCTTGTCAGCTTTGCAGAGAAATATGTCTGACAGACTTTCCTCAGATGTTCACCTCTCCTTTACTTAGTGGTAGCACAGGCTTTCACAAGTTTCCCCTAGCATGACCCCCTCCACAGTGAGAAAATCTGGTCCATCCAATCTCCTTGAACTGCAGAAAGTTGCCAAGGAGATGCAGACTGGAATAACTCAGCTATTTTAGTAGTCCTGCACAGTCTGGAGTTACTGCACTTTAAATGTGAGTTTGCATGACTCGACTTAGGGGTTGTTGCTTGCAGATGAATAATCTCTCAGTAGAGCACCACCACCACGTAAATTATTCCTTGAAATAAGAAAGTAATGAACCACTGTAGTAGTTTTTCTCCAACATACAGTAGTTGCCGCTTTCTGGCATCTTCTGAGATGAAATCAAGCGTTTTTATGTTGAGGTGTTGTAATCCAGTTTTGGGGCAGTGGATAAATGTTTGCGGTGCCCTCTGCTGACTGAAACGAGCGAGCACTTCCCTGTTTCTCATCGGTTGGAGTGAGTGGGATAGCCTCCTCTGTGGCCACTGCACTCTTGCTACATTACATAGTTGCAGCTATATCTTAAGAGTATGTGTATAGTAAAACCTTAGATTTGCAGTCAATTGACTTATTTACAAACAGAAAGAACAAGTTATTTTCCATAGTGCATTATTCACAAAAGATAGTGTTGTGGGCTTTTTCTTCACATCTTTCTGGGTCCCAGCTGTGCATAGGGCACTGAACAGGGTGCCTTAGACCTGTTGATATGTCAAGAAAGCCTTTCTCGGTTGACAGATGAGCTTGTTTTGCCTGCTTGCAGGATCAGATTGATTATCAGTAAGTAGTTTTTCATGGGTCAGGTTTTCAAGGCCACGGGATTTTTTTATATTCTCCTCAACTCTTGGATATTGCTTGCTTCCAAGTGTTTTCCTGTCGTGATTTTCATATTGTTCTTGGAGCTGTGGGCACTACATGTTCTTGCTGTCTGACAGTGATATGCATCAACTTTACTGAAAGCCCTGATGCTCTTGTCAATTTATTACTTTCAGGTACAAAATGGCAAAGCTAAAGTGTTCCATCTTCTTGTGTATAGTTAATGTATGTACCCTGTGCTGGAGTAATTGCCTTTTATTAAAAACAAACAAAACCAGAAAAACAAATGCAAATCAATGTCAAAGATCAAAAGCACAATAACAGTTGTACATATAGTCGTATTTGACTCCTGCTCTGAACTCTGATGTGGAAGAGACAATTTCCTGACCACATGCAAGAACACAGGCTTCTTGTTGCTCTTAATTAAGGATCCTAATGTTGGTGGTGTAAATGTTCCTTATATGCAAACTTGGTGGTGGCAATAATGTAGTCAGAGCAAGGTTTCTAAGAACAATTATTATTTTTTTTTAATTACATTAATTAGTACAATATACTACAGGAATAGTATGGGGGGGTGTCTTGGAATTGACATTTTAAGGTATTCCTTTTTAACCATAACTGCTCTAGCAGCCCTCCTATTTTACATGTATAATGTACAGTGTGTAGTGAGGAAAGAGCCAAACAATTAAAAACAACAAAAACATAGTTGTAAAAAGTAAAAGTCACTGATTTGAAGCTCTAGGTTTGTCATTTCACAATCACATAAATGGTAAGCCAAGAGCAGGTCTAGGAATTACTAAGTCCTGAGTTTTAAGACAGGATGTGGTACTTTCACTGTGATGCTAGTAACAGGGATTGTGGAAATTACTGTGGCCTTTCCCAGTCTGTAACATGGAAATTATGATACTTCACTGAGTATGTAATAATTAATTCATAAAATGCTTTGAATGTCTAGGATACTGTAAGAGTTCAAGTTAGTGTTTTGCTGCAATATCTAATGGATTTACATAACCTAAATGAAAGAAAACTTTTTTCTGAGTAGGTTCATGAAAGATGCTCAAAATATGTTTGTTTCAATTTGGTTAATATTGATGAATTTATTTTCTGTTACTGTAGAAACATACTTAATTTCATGAACAATAGCATCAACAAAATTTAATATGTAGGGTCTATGAGGAGAAAAGAAGGAACAGAGTTATTCCAGAAGGAACAGTTAATGTTTAGGGAGGAAATGCTGTCAGAACTACTTCCATAATAAAAAAAGAAAGATATACTGCAGACTTCAGAAAGATGTTCATTAATTTTGCTGTTTGCAAAGTGGTACAGAAAAATTTACATGTCCAAGGGCATGGAAAACATACCTTACTAACTCTATTTTAAAAGTCTCTTTATTGTTGACAGATGGGATGAGAAGAGATAAGTGTCCTGCACTGCAAATGGCCTCCCGTTTGGCATTTACTGGGTGCTAGCCCAGAATCATCTTTGGTGGAGGAAGAAGGTTGATGACACTAAGGTTTGTTCAAGAAGGCTGACTTTTTTTATTTTTTTATTTATTCTGTAACGTAAAAGGACTGTGTGAATCTTGGAAGCTTTTTGTGTTTGGGAACCCTGACGTATGTTGCTGCAGTCAGGTTTTAATTAAAAATTGTGGGGCTCAATGTTGGTTTGCAGGTATTCTGAACAGTAAGGATTACTTTTCCGGCCTTGATGATTATTTTGTTTGGTCTAGATCTTGTATGTTTTTTATTAGTATACCTCTTCCATCTTTAATGTAAGGACAATAAATTAAGCAATTAAATGAATTTAATAATAATACTGCTTAATAACCTAACACAGTCTAAGCCGTATTCATAAATATAGTATTTGATTTAATTAATTAGATCATAAATTGTCCCATTCTCCTGTCAAAGCTAGCATGAATACTTAAATATAGTGTTTGGGTAACCTAGTAAAGCAGAAATTGTTTTTTACAGTGTAGATTAAACTAAGTCAAGGTCTATAGTTGAAACAATATAGTGCATATGAATAGCTTGGAGCTTGGACTGAAGGATGAGCTTGAGGATGGGTGTGGTTTTTTTTTTTTTTATTCTCAGTTTCATTTTTGATTTACAGATGTTTGACAGAATCAAACGATCTGATGAAGCTTCTGCTTCTTCAGCACAAGGTGAGGAGATTAAAGTACATATTTTTTGTTGCAGTTATTTATTAACATAATAATAGTAGACGCATTAGTTTACCTGAAATTCAGTTGTGTAATTCAGTTTTCAAAATTTCAATATGGAGCTTAGATGGAAAAAGTGACTTCTAAATTATCTACAGGTTTCCATGCAGACAGAATTTTCGTGTCTTTTAATAAGCTGTTTAAGACACTGTGCATTTTGTTTCAGTGCTCGTGGATATATGAGTCTATCAGTACACATTGCCTAATCTTGATCCCAGACATATCAAAAATATACCCATTTACCTCAGCCATGAAGGCATAAAGTTTATTTTATGAACCTCACAGAGCATCCGTGAGGATGAAAGGGTCTCTCTAAATGTTTTTTTTGAATTTCTAAACTTCTTAACTTCCTTTAAAATGATAGTTTTGACAAGTAAAAATTAAAGGAGTTAACCGACTTCCTCCTCTTTGTTTTCCTGTGTTTTTTACTACAGGAATGGAAAGACAGGGTGTTGAAGGTTCGCTACAACAGGACAGCAATAGCAGGTGAGTTAGGTGATAATCTAACTGGCATCCAGTTTACTGCTAGCACAAAGTAAAACAGGAATTACCCATTTTTCAATCTTAACTGTCATCTTGTGTAATGGATGACAGTGATGTGATAGAGATCAAATATATCATGGAGGTCTTTTGTCTTGTATCCACACTTCTTAAAACTAGGGGTAAGGGGCACTGTGACTTTTTCTGGAGAGACAATTCTCTTCAGACTACAGTCAACTCAAATTAGAATTTGTGTTAGCTGTGCCTTCAGCCGGTTATCCTTTGTTCTGCATTTAAGAAGAAGTTTTCTTTAGTTAAATTTGCTTGGGAATAGCCTAAAATACGTATTCTTATTTGGTATTATAATTCTGAAACAGAAATGTTTATCTTGCAAGTTTGTTGCAGCTCTGTAGTAAGATAGATATTCAGGATTTCTATGTTAAGAACTTGAATTAACAAACCAATGTTGTTTTTTGTACTGAAATGTCTTGGTAATATTACCTGCTTCTTTCAGTTTGCATACAAGAGGGCAAGAACATCCTCGGCCTGGAGTATCCACCATGCAGAATAGGCAAGGATACTGCAACTGCTGCCATGTACACTACAGTAATCTGGAACAGGTAAGAAGCCTGCAGCATAACACAGCAGCAGATAGCAAGAAGTACAGATAGGCTTTATCAGCTTACAAAATGTCATTCTCTACACTGAACAACCAACACTGAACAATGGAAAATTAGCAATTTGTGAATTGTACTGAGTGTGCACAGAGAAGAGGAATCACTTTTACCTGTTAAAGAGAAGCTGGTGGAACGGCATGCTTGCTGCAGTTTGCTTTTCTGAAGTGTCACCCTGCTGTGCATTACACTCATTAGGTTTATTTCAGTGGCTTTAATTTTAAGATTTGTATAGACTGTGTCAAGTATTAGGGCTAGTATGTTGGATATAAAAGCTGAAGACGTTTGATCAACTACTTCTCTGTGTTTAACTCTGTTGGTCTCTTATCTTTTAGACTTTTCTAACTAGAGAGTAGGAGCCTATTTAATCTTCTATTCTATGAAAAGTCTCCACAGTTTGAGTGAATTATGGGATATTTGCTCATATGAAGTCCAAAAATATTTTTAGTCATTGTTTATAGATATGTTTAGAGTATTTGTACGAATCACAAGAGATTTGTGAGCATCTCTCAGATCTGCTGATTTAGATTCCATTTCAGAAGGGGTTTAAGCACATTTTAGTATATTATTTGTGACTCCCTAAGCATTCTTATGGCCTTGATGCAATGAGAATTTTAGTAGAAAAGATTGAAGATTTTCCTTTCTACTTAAACATTTTCATTGTAAGGAGAAACGTTTAACCTGGGAAATAACTTTTCTGAACATAGGAAGTAACTTTTCTGAATAGGTCAGTGTGTCAACAATGATATTAAACTAGCAATATGTTTTGTCTTTCCATCAGCATATTTTCAGCTCCCAGCACAGACATTTTACCACTTACCGCAGGAATCGTATGGGTACCAGTAGCTTGATGGAGCGTTTCCTGCAAGATGTTTTGCAGCATCATCCCCACCGATACCATGACAGCAGGTATAATACAGTTCATTTGTTTTTAAATGTATCCTAGTAGAATGCATGTATTGTGAATTCTTATTTCTGTTCCATTTCTGAACAGTAAGTTTTGCCCATTTGAGGTGAAATTTCCAAATTGCTTTCAATATGAAAAAGAGTGTATTTATGTAATTGTTGTCCAGTGTATTCCTTTTGTGTTCTCTTTGCACTTCTAAACTTCATTACACTGCTTAAGGATTTGATATAACACCATTGATACCAATTAAATATGAAGACCTGATGAAAAGAAGGAATATACTGGTCAGCTAGAATATATACACTGTGGGCTTAATTTATATATTTCACAGTACATTTTATGGTATGTATCGAGTTCATAATTTTGGCTTGCTGAATGTGGTGCTTGTCAGGTGAATACTTATGCTTATTTATCCATTATTATTGGAGTTTGTTATCCTTAGAGTTACTACGTGCATGAATTAAGTTAATTGGCCAGTTCATCATTGCTCAGATTTGAAGTGTTCTCTTTATCACGTGCACGTTTAAGAGTGATAAGAGGGCGTATAAACTTTTTTTCTGTAGAAGGGCCAGCTGAAAGATCTGTTAAGTCTCATTCCTTGTTATGTTCTGACAGGCAGTCAAAAATCCCAATCTGAACCCAGTATATTGTATTTTGATAAATAACTTTTTTTTTTTTGCTACTTTCTCTATATCTCTCATTATTGGAAAATGCAGTATATACTTTAAGGCAACACCCAAATTAAAAAGGTAGATATCTCTTGAGGTGTTGCTAATACAAGGTTATTTCATTTGGTGAATAAAATCTGCTAATCAGTAAAAAAACAAGCTATCCGTTTTCCTCTAAGTTGCTGGTAGAATGAATAGAATAAGCAAAATAATGTACAAGGCCTGGATAAAATAGGTTGACAAGTGGGGGAGGAATAATTCCAAATCTATACAGAGTTTGGAGGAAGAAAACCAAAGATGGAAGAGAGCGTGAATAGACTTTTGTTGTGATTCTGCTCTGAAAAAGACTGAGTCAGAAAGTGATTTAAGTAGCATCTGGGGTAAGGATAGGATTCTCTTCTTTCTTACATAAAATCTCTTGCATTGATGCATAGTTTCACAAAGTAAATGCTTATACAAACCATGCAGAAGCTGAATTCACACAAGGGATCTTAAGACTGTAATTTTAAAAGGATTATAAAAATATTTGTAAGCCTTGATTTATTTTGCAGAACCAACCAGTGTCACTAGTAGTGATGTGGCAGAAGGAAAAAAATTCATCTGAGCTTTGCCTTTTGCTGAATTTCAGAGGATATTGGTGTTCTGCCTTTCCTCATGGTCCAAAAAAAAAATGAAAAAAAAGGGGATGAGGGGGGGAGGAAAAACTATCTCTTCCTCCAAATTCTTGATGTGATTGTTTTTTCGATAAAGAACTAATATTGAAATATTGAGCATTTAAGAGAGTAAATCTATTTGATTTTTGGTGTATTTTGTCATAAAACTGCCAAAAGTACCTAACTTCAGAACTGAAGTTTTATTTCATCCCCCAGAAACATTTGTTTGTAAATAGTTTCTGAAAATCACGTGTTCTGGTAAGTGAGCGAGGAGCCTGGGAATTTGTTAGCTTATCCATATCAAAATCCACTTAGTGCTATATACAGTTTTCTAGCAGCATCCAGATGCTGAGTGTTTCAGACAAAGATAGAAGAACTCTGAGAAAGTTAAAAGATTAAAGGAGAAGACAAAACCAGTACAAATAGATTTAATTCTGATCTATAAGATTTTGAAGTTGACAAAGATTCTTTACCTCAGTGCTTAGGTGTGTGCACCAGTAGGGCACAGCAGTTCAGCTGACAGGCATAATTTGATTATCTGATGCATTTCATTACCTTGCATTCAAATGATGATAATCCTCTTTTTTAATTTCTAAGAGGTTTCTTCTTGTGCTTAGTCAGTCCTAATATCTCTTATCTGTACTCTTATGAATTTATCACCCCCCTCCTTTTTCTTTTTAAAAAAGAATTCCACTGTATTCTATATCACACTTCCTCAGCCAGTGGTGTATAATCACGTTTTTGGAGTTACAGAAGGAATATTAGATATTGTGTCATAACTTGTATTCATTCCTTTTAAAGTAACACTGCGTCTTGAGCAGGGAGGAGTTGTGTACTGCTGTTGGTAAATTGTTGTGGCTTGTTAGGCTCATGCAAAGTGTGTTGTAAGTTGTATCCCTTGTTGTTTATCAAAATTGAACTCAACCTCTGCATTGCATTCCTTTATTTGTTCACAGGATCCATACAGCATTTTTTTGTCATCTGCAGATTTTAATACTTTACAAAAATTTTGAAAGGGCAAGTGAGTCATAAAACTTAGCCTGAACAAGAGGGTATTCTGCTTCTGATCTTTTTGTCATCATGAAGATTGTTTAATCTATTTTATACTAGCAATCAGTTTGTTTTTTGATTGCTTTTTTTCCTCCACCAATAATTTTTTAGTTTTTGAATAGACTCCAAAGGACCTTAATGAAAGACTCTTGTATATCTAAATAGTCCATCTTTTCTTCTTTACCCACTCCTTTATCACTGCCTAATACATCTAGTGTTTGAACTTGGGAAAAATCTTAAATGAACTTTATCAATGGAGCCGTAGGTAGTGAGTCTGTAATAACTTCTTTTCTTTGGGTGTGTTAATGCAAATATTGACAGCCAATACTTGATATGTACATCACTCAACTGAGTGAAGAATAATATACCAATTGCCAAAGTAAAATACTCTTCAAATTACCTTGTTATAAATAGCATCCAGTGCTTCATCACTTTTTTATATAGCCAGTGTGTGTTGTTGTTTTTTTTTTATGAGTTGAATTGATAGGAGGGAACTTTGATCAATAAGATGTTCATGTGAATGCTGTTGTTTCCTTGGAAGGCTTTTTATGTTTGATGAATGTTGCTTCAGTCCCTGCACTGTGAAATACCATAGGTCTTGGTCTTCTAATAACTTCAATTTCAATACTATTTTGCATTAAAATGTTTTGTTTATGGCTGTTAGTGACTCTGTAGTTCTCCTCACATGACTTAATAGAGATTTCAGCACTCTATGAAGGAGTCTCAGAGCTGTTAGTAATTATTTTTGAGAGGCCACAGAGACTGTGTGGGATGTTTCAGAAGGACTGGGGAAAAAAAACGTAAAGATTGTCAATTTTAAGTAAGGGCAGAGAGGACCTACTTGTAGACTTCTTTGCTTAAATTATGGTATTTCCCCGGCAGTTGAAAAGATGAACTCTTCATAAAAATCCAGAAGACAGTGAATTGATGAGTAATGGTTACTGCTGATTTAGTCAAGGAAAATCACATCAGGTCATCTTTAACAGGGTAACAGACCTTGTGAATAGAAGAGAATCATCCATTTCGGCACCATCTGTCCTGTTGCATCTATCATGCCATCTATCAAAACCCCAGATTTTGGCATGTTCTTGTATGAGACTTACAAGCAAGCTAAGGAAAATGTGATTGGAGATTAAACAGTGGTTAAATGAGTAACTGGCTGGAAAAAATAATTTATTTCTGGCTTGGGGGTAGAGTGGGAGAGAGACCGTGAAAGATCCAACAAATCTCATGTTGGATCATGAATGAGTCCTATCCTGAGCCTTGAAATATGTGGTTTTGAGTGTGATTTACTGGTGCATTTTTTTCAGTTTGTTTTGCTTTGCTTTTTGTTTCTGTTTTGGTGATAATCCTATGAAGTGTGTTTTTTATTGCACTAAGTTTTGTCATCTCTATAGAGGCCAAGTCAACTTTATTTCTTTTTAAAGTAGCCAAACCTCTTTTTTTTTAATTTTCAATCATAAAACAGTAATTCTAATGTGAGAATTCTTTTTCTTCTATTTTTCACAATAAAAGACTAAGCTATATATAGCTATAGCTATATTCAGAAAAATTCTGTGATTGTTTTTCAGTATGAAGTAGCCAGTTGGAAATACTTGCTATAGGCTTACTTGGTATCAGCAGGCTTAATTAATAACTTTAGTAAAATCAGACACATTAATGTCTGAGTCCTTCAAGGAGTTCAACATGTTGACTACTGAATGCTTATAACCAAGGAAATTACTATACAATAGAATTTATTCACAGTACGTCCTTAGCAGATGAATGTACCACAAAAGATGCATGGCATGCATTAAAGCACACATCTCTTTTGACTCTTAAAAGGCCTGGTCAAAACTTTCAGGGGAAGCATCGTATTCTCCCTTTAGCTATATTTGCTACATTTTAAAACTATTTTCTTATTTTATTTTCGGCTGTTCCAATATTTGTAACCTTGTGGGTTCCTGTGGTATATAAGAAATGGTCCATGTTTGTCTGTCTGTTCTGTTAATTCTGCAAGAAATAGGCATTTTATTCGAGGCAGTCCTAAAAACAGAGTGGCCAGTCCTAGGATATATAAAAGTGCGCTCTTGTCACAGTGAGCCTGAACAATCATAACTTGGCTTCTTATAGAAGTGAGTTAGAGCTGTGGTATGTCTGTGAGAAGCAATAAGCATGAAACTCCTTGGTGGGAATGTGTACAGAGTTCCTATCAGACAAACGTGTTTTGCAGGGAAAGAGGCGTTTATAGTCAATAGTATTTTTAATTCTGTGCCTTATTATAAAGTTCCATTTCTTTACAAAAGCTCATTATTTAATTAATTATAGTTTTACCAAGGAAAGAACATCCTTCTAAGCTCACAGCTTTGAACAAATGAAAACTCTTCAGTTTTCTTGCTTTATTCTATTTTATAAAATTATTATAACGTAAGTTTGGCAATTCTTAATGGATAGTTGCATGGAGAAGGTAACCAACCAATGCCCGGGTTGTCTTTTGCTTTGTGGAACATTTCTTGTTTCACTTTCTAATGGAATTTCTGTGTTAAAATAGTAGAGCTGGAATCCTGTGTTTGTTCATTAGGTGTGATGCACTCTAGGTAATTACTTTTTAAAAGCTATTGTTAAAAAAAAAAAAATCTTAAACATATTTACAGTGTTTATATAGTTGGGTTTTTTTATTTATTTCTTTTAGGCCAACCTATGATGACATGCCACTCCAAATCACTTCAGCATCTGCTAGGATTGCTTGCCTGTCTTCAGAAGAGACGGAGAAAAAGAATAGAGGCACACAGGAGATTTCCAGCAAAGACCAGGAGTCCAGTGATGACATGTGCTCTTCTGCTCCATGTCCCTCTCATGAGGGCCCAAAGGAAACTTCTGTAACACAAACACTTACTCAGAAATTAAAAACTGAGAAGGAATGTGTTGTAGAAATATCCCAGCAGTCTATTGGCATTTGTAGCAATGAGAAACGGGATGTCCTGAAAGATGCTCAAACTGCAAATCGTAGCCATGAAGACCAGTTTACAGCTGTGAGCCCCATACCTCACCATTTGTCTGTCACTCCTTTAATACCTAGTTCTTCTGTTAATCCTAAAATAGAAAAAAATGCTAAGAATTTGTCATCATCAAATACGATTCCACATAGTGGATGTGATGAAACAGGAACAGAGATAGGCGATAGGGATGTGTTATTGAAACCATGCTTGAATCCTGCTCTGGCGCTGGCTCACCCCAAATACCCTTCAGTTTCACAACAGAATCCTGTATATAGGCACAGGGATTCTTTACTTATTACCTCAGGTCAATCTCTTTTAAAACAAGATGGTTTACAAACTCAGGATGAAACTTCGGTGTCTGATTTCCATCTCAGGGATACTGTGGGTATTAACAGCTCCCTAGATCTTGGGACTTCCCCACAACTAGCAGGATGCAAAAATGTGAAGACAAACGTGGGTGATGAAAGTTCAGTGGATGAAACTATTGAAAATGTTATTCTGAAGTACTGCCATGGAACCACATATGAAGAACTTCATTTCAAAGAGGAGAACAATCTCTGTTTAACTGTTTCATCCCTTCTGGATCGTACTCATTTAGAGGGCTCTGAAATGAGTTTTGACTGTGATGCACCTATTCAATCAGGAACAGACTTACCCAAGGCAGCTGTAAAAGACATAGAGTTGCTAAAAGAGGTCCAAATAAGTTTGCAAGATAAAGATTATGGAACACAGCTCTCTTCTGTTTTAAAAGGTGAATCATTGCAGCAAATAGAAAAAGTGAAGCGGGATGTAGTAGCTCATACTGAAGAACCAGTTCTTCCAGCTCTGCCTCATGTGCCTCCTTCTTTTGTGGGAAAGACTTGGTCTCAAATAATGTATGAAGATGATATAAAAATTGAAGAACTTGTGCGTGATTTCAGGGAAGGTCGTTTTCGCTGCTACTTTGACAGCGAATCCACAGCCAACTTTACGGGGAGGAGAATGAAGAGAAAAAAGCAGAAAGACGAGAAAAAGGATGATGCTGCTGAGGGTAACAGAGTAGAAAGTACATCAGTTAAAGCACTGCCAGAATTTAATGATGCTTTAAGTGGTGGCTCTGATTTTGATAACCAATCTGTAGCTTCAGATATGCTATGCAACCAACAAATTCTTAAAATGCCTAGGAAAAGGACATGGCGCCTAGCTTCAAGATGCCAGGTGGTTAAAGTTAGCCATGGCACACAAACAAGTCTATTGGATTACCCTGTAACAAAAAGAAAAATGGCTAGAAAGGAGTCTGATCAAGCTGATCAGAAAGAAAGCACCATGTGGTCAGAAGGTGAAAAGACTCCAAACATGAAAACTAGACTATGTGCCCTTAAACTTCCCGAGTCCTATAGCAAGATTATGAGCCCTGTGCAACCCAAGACAACAGTGTATGTACTTTCATGTCCAGAGATAAAGCAGTGTAAAGGTAAACCTGTAGACATTCCTAAAACGAGGAAAAATCGTAACTCCACAGATAGCAAGGACTCTATAAGGTATAAATACAAACAGTGTTCTTTGAAGTATTATGACCCACTGACAAATAGAGTTCTGAAAATGCCTCCCAAGAGTTCTGTTGGAGAAAAGGTCAAAAAGCCCACCCATGTTAGACAGCTTTTCAGAAGTCTCAGCTTTGATGCAAACATGAGGAAACTAGCCGATGCACAGAGAGAAGGCACACAATCGAAGTCCTGCAATTGGTCAGACCTCTATAGCTCATCCTCAGCAACTCTTCTGGCAGACCCAGGTAAAGGGAACGATACAGCATCAAGTCAAAAAGCAGATGGATCTTCCGTGATTTCTGTAGAAAGAACAGATTGTCTTGTATCTGGTCACTCTGAGAACTCTCTGAAACACCTGTCCATTTCACCTTTGAACTCTCACCCGTCTGTGATAGAAGGAGACTGTAGATTAACTCCTTTGAACAGCAGAGTTACCAAAACTCCTCTGACCTCCATCAGGAGTGAGCGATTAGAGAGGGAGAATCCAAAAGCAATGTGGAAGAGAAAAGAAGGCACTAGTATAGAACCACTTTTTTCCAAAAAAGCTGCAGGAGCTATGTCTGTCAGATGCACTGTTGGGAGGAGGGGAAGCAGAGTAAGCACAGGCAAACAAACTTCCAGAACTATAAAACAGCAAAAAGAGGGACTGAGAAGGAAACTTTCTCCTTGTGCCCAGAAATCTTCTGCTTTTTCCATACACAGGCGCCAGACAGGGAAAACTACAGTGGGAAAGCACCTTAAGAAAGAAAAGCCTGATGCTAAAAAAATAAAGGTGAGGAGGAAACCAAAAAGGACTTTTCTGAACTCAACAGTCGTCACAGGGATTCCTGAAAAGGGGCAGAAAGTCTCGCCAGGATCTTTTCCTAAAAAGCCAGAGAGCTTCTTCCAAAGTCAGAAGCTGGGAAGTAAGTGGAGATTGGGGTCACCCTAGCACTGTGAACCAACCCTCAAGAACTGCTGTACCGTTACTTCGAAACTGTCTCATTCTACCAGGTGAGAGCTAGCCACCAAAACATCTTTTTTTTTTTTTTTTTCTTTATAGCCAGCACCTGGAAAAGAAGGGAACAAAAGGAGGTCATAGACAAAGCAGCTGAAGTGTTAGAGCTGCAGAAAGTGCAAAGCCAGTCTAATGTGAAACAGGTACAACTTTAAACTGAGTTCTTGTTCCTGATATATGGGACATTATATATGGGGCATATATTGCACTGTTCTACTGTGTAAAGCTGCAGAAGTTGTGCATTTGAGTTAAAAGCACTTAACCCTATTTGCTAGACTTCACTTGTGCATCAAAACAAATGAGCTTGAATAGTATCATATTGTTTTTATGGTATTATCAGTGCGTCATAGTGCACTACAATAGGGTAAATTAGAAGCTGTACTATTGTGCCTATTCTCATTTTTTTCCACATAATTTTAAAGTGCAAAACATAACTCATGCTAAAAATTAATTTAAGGTATCTTAATCTGGGGTGAATTCTGTGTATGTATTTTGTGTTTGTATATATGCACATCTTGTTCAACACGTATGGTATATACTTGCCTATGGAGTGGTATTGAAATTAATACAGTATGATACAATTCAGATCAATTCAGTGTTTTCTTGAAACAAAATACAATTATACATGTTTTTATACCAACTTTTTCTTGAAACCATGTCCAAATCAGTTATTTTGGGCAACAAGTCACTGTGGGCTGTTACCAAGCAATAATGGACCATGCTGGTAAGGAAATATGTCTCCCTTGAGTACTGTTCCAATGGTGGTGGCTATACTGAAACCTCAAATTCCAAAAGAAAATACAGTTGTAGGGTTACTTTATTCTGCTTTTTGTTTTAAATAGCTTACTACTAAAGTTTATAGGTTAAATTTACATTCCTTAGTGAGGGGATGGAAAAGTTAGAGACAAGTAGCAGTGAGTTGTTCTAACCTTAAATTTGACATCCAGTGGTTGTTTTTTTTGATTTTAATTGGGCATACTGTTGGTTTAGTTTTTGTGTGCTGTAGTTGAAACTACTTTTAAATATTCAGTAAAACCTAAAGCGACATCCATCTAAATATATTAAAAATAAAATATCTGTTTCATAACAGATATTTAAATAAGCTGAATTTAACAAATAAATAAATTGTATTCAATTAGTGATTTTTGTTAGGCCATTGATCTATGATTTTGTCTACGGCAAAAAAAAAAAGTAGTGTTCTGTGGCTTCGGGTTATATTTGTTTCTGGCTTTTGTTTTGTTTTCTTTGGGAAGGCTTTTTTTTTATTTTTTTGCTTTTGTTTTAGTTGTTATGATGACAGCTTATTTAATTAATGTGTGTTTAGGAGAAAAACCCTAGTTTTTAAGATGTTTCTATACTTTAAAATCAAAATTAATTGTTCACTTGTATTAAATTAAGCAGAGAGTTAAACTTCGTCACAGTCAGGGCTCTGGTTTGCAAATCTGCAATTTGGTATATTATATAATCTGTTGTACAAGTATACAAATTGACAAATAACTTTACAATAAATCTTATATGCTAAAAGAAAGCATATATAAAAGACCAAGACCCTGCTCTCTCTGCCATTACACACTATGTGTGTGCTTTGTGTGTGCTTTCTCCCTCCCCTCCCCCCCCCCCAAAAAAAAAAAAATCAAAACACATTCTTGATTCGCTTTCTGAAGTGCCAAGGGTCACTAGTTTGTATTGAGATAAAGCTGTGCTATGAAATGTTGCATTTTGAAATACAGCATCTGAATGAAATGTAAAAGCTGTCATCATAAGCCACTCATTGTTTAAAAAAAAAATACATAAAAAAAAAAAGAAAAAAATCCAACTATATAAATGTGCATATTTCCCAGGACAAGTCAACGATGTGCATGTACTTAAACCAGCTGGAAACTAAATTGGAAGTCAAATATCATCTGACGCTTCTTTTTTTTTTTTCTTTTAGTTTTGAAATAAAGTCTGTTTCTATGGATGAGTTTTCCTATGGTTGTCAGTTGACAAGAATCTTATGACTGGATTACAAGTCACTGGAAAAAAAAAAAAAGGGGTTATGAGTTCTTATAGCTCTAAACTAATTGTGCCTGTATAATTTAATATTTTGTCTAATATAAAACTGATTTTTTAAAGCAAAATTTTAATGGAATGGTTTTTATAGAAAGCCTAATTTTTAGATTAAAGGTTTAAAGCAAAAAAAAAAAAAAAAGATTTTTAAGATAAAGTTTGTTTTAAAGCAAAGCTTTAAATTAACTCTTAAGTCCCATTCTGACATATTTTTATGATACAAGAATGTTTGCCTATCTAATTTCTTCAATCTAATTTTTCACAATATTGTAAATATGAAAAGTATAGATTGTTCTGTTTGAGTAAGGTTTAATGCACATTCTACTTTGATTGCTAGTGTGTATTTGTTTACACTCAAAAATACTGTTTTCCATACTCATTTATTGCAAACTTGTTTCTCCAGCACAGAAATTTCCTTGAAACATTGAGAGTAATAAAGTATATTGTGGACTATACAATGACTAACTTTTTTAGCATCTTTTTTTGGGCGGCGGGGTACATAATAGACCCCTTTATCTAGGTGTTGAGCTGTTTATTTTTTTTTTTAACAGAAAAATGTTATTTAATTAAAAGTGTAAGTAGCTATGTATTTACCTTTAAAAAAAAATAAATAAAGATGAACTCTAACAACGTTTATTATAGAAGACTTGAGGTCCAAGTCTGGAAACAATTCTGTGGTTGACAATGTAAAAGTGAGATTTAATGTATGCTCAGATTTTATTCTATGCATCTCTTATGACTGTTTGAACACCTCTTCTGTGCATGCTCAGTGACTACTAGGAAAGAGGGGAGATTGTGGTATGAGAGAAGCAAATGCAGAATCTGCCTTGGAAGAGGAGTTAATGAAAATATGTGTAAAAAAAAAAAAAAAAAAGGCAGATATACTCAAAATACCATGTGCATGAAGGACAAATGAGTTTTTGGGGGATCTTGGGGAATTGTTTTACTAATTCCTCATTAATATTATATATTCTGCTGCTGTTACTGAGTAGCACACTGTTCATTGACATCATGGCCAAAACTTCAGAACATGGTTGTAGAGGCTACAGCAATGGAAAAATTGAATGCTGAAATGCTTTCTCATGGAAATTGAAAGGATGGTTTTTTTGTTTTTTTGTTTTCATCATTGGACAAAGGTACTTACCAGTATAGTTTCATGTCTTAATGTGCAAAAGCAAGAAAAGACTTCTTGACTAAAGAGGAACAAAGTCATGCTTTTAGAATCTAACTTGCAGCAGTTAGATGCAGAATAGCTTGCATAGAATAGAAAATAGAATAGAATAGAAAAATGTTACTATTTCTTCTGTGCATGTCATTTTTGACCTTCCATAATTTTGTACTTGTAATTTTAGTACATTTAATAATTTTAAATAAGTCCCTCTCCATAAAGTACTCATTCTATTTTTTAAACCTTATTCTAAGCAGCTTGATCTTTATTTTTAGTATTCTGATCCTTGAGTTTGATCTAAACTCTTACTGTGCTAGGTGCTAAGCAAACAGAATAGTAAGTCCCCCCGGATTTAGATGTCTGATGTTTGCTCCTTAGCAGTTCTTCAGTTTTTTTCTGATTGGATTTTTCATTTTCTAGTTCTTTTTGTGCTTGTAGTATCGAAGCGCTCCTCACTGGGACTCGCATACAATGAGATATTTAGTTGTCTTTATAATGTGATTATGACTTAATCCAAAGATTCATGCTAAATTTGTGTCTGAATGAGAACACATCTTCGTGGTTTTCACATTCTTACAATTGGGAATGTATTTTGAAACGTTTTTGCCTTATGTAGCTTTTTTCTGTAACTTTTTTTTTAATCTGCTTCTTTATCTCTACTGTCTGTGGTCATTTGACATAGTATGTGTTTGTACTAACGTAGTGTCACAGACTTTTCAAGTGATATTGCTGGATGTTCTTTCTTTGTATCCTCAGCTCTCAGACATGCACTTGGATTTTTTTTTTCTTAATGTTATGAAGAGCTACAGGACATGATATAGTACCTGGAAATAAATTAGTGACAGGTAACAGAAGTGGATGGTGTCCTGATTTGAAGTGTAGAGGAGATGTTCATATTTGTGTTTCAGTGCTTCAGAGTCTTACTTCACTGACTAGTGCTAAAAGGATGTGGGATGACAAATCTTAATTTATTTAGCTGTTTTCCCTTCTATTTCACCTAGGGTAAATCTGCCTCACAATGGATCAATCTGAATTCATACAGAACAGTGTGTCAACTCTTGATGTTTTGGGGATAAGAAAAGTAAAACATACCTCGCTTGCTTAATGCAATTGAAGTTCAGCAATTTTTGTTGTCAGTGACTTACTTGGTGTGATTCACAGTATTCCAGATGATAACTTTCTGAAAACTCCGTACTCACATAAGTCTGAGCATGCCCAGAAGAAAAGGTTTTGTTCCTTGTTTGCTTATATTGTTATACAGTTATGAATTTATTCATTCCTTCAGCAGAGTCAATCTTGTTTTAATAAAATAAAGACCGAATTAATGTATTTGTAGTCTTTTTTTTTTTTTTTTTTTTTTTTAAATTCTGGATGTATTAATTAACTTGAAAATAGTTGTTATATATAACTTGTTGGGGAAAGAACACCACAAAGTGTCATTCAGTAAGCTATGTTTCTGAAGAAAGCTAATCGTAATTTAAACAGCTGTTCACAACTACAATGTGTTGATCCAGTGGCGTCTTCTGTTGACTGCAACGAAGCCAGGATTCATCCCATCCTGTGGTAACTGAAGCAATGACATCCAAGGATAGCACTGAAAAAGCATTGGAGATATTTTAGATGTCTTCAATTGCATTTTGGCAGCAGGAAACCAAGAAAACCAACCAGCTGGCAAGGTGCCCGCAGAACTTCATGAACACTGTTGGGTTTTTGTTGTTTTGTTTTTGAGGGCATGTTTATTAAAGAGGGCAGTTGCTGAAAGTATCATAATATTAAATAGTTTTCTACTTTACAGAGAAGCCAATCGATTCTGCATAATTGTAGACTAAATAAATCCTGATTATGATGATCTTGCAATGCATGCAGAAGAACAGCCTTTGAAACTGTGTAAAAATAGTTTAAATGTTTTCTGGTAAATAGAATACCAGAATTGTACTCTATACAATTTTATCGAACAATAGACTACCTTGCATAGAACACCTTGTTCTTTAAATTTAGTAGACATTTTCTGTCTGTAACAGTGCCTGTTTGAAACAGCATAATCTTTTGCAGGAGAGATGCATGCAAATGTGTCAGCTTGAATGGACGAATGGTTGAAAAGCGTAGACATTGTTTCTTGAGGCTTTAATACATCATAAAATTTCAGGAGATGCTTTGCAATTTTCAATCCATCCTTAATGATTATTATGTATTATATTGTCTGAGTGTAATTATCTACTTAAGCACTGTTGTGCTGTCAAAACGTGCCTCACTAAATGCATAAGATATAATTCTACCTTCTAAACCTGGAGTTACAAATATCATACTGTAACCAAATTTTAAATTGGGTGATTGCATCTTTCCTGGGAGATGTGAGCAATTCATAACTTGCTTATAGAGTGTCAAGTATAGTAGAGGTCTAGTTTAAACTGGAATATTTGAGAGTTATGATGAAACTTTTGGTTTTAGTTGGTTTTGGATTCATTGGAGTCATTAGTGGTTTAATGCATGAAATTATTGTATTTCTGTGTCACTGGAAGTCGTAATGATTGAAGTTCTTGAAGTTCAGAACTGTTTTTGATGAGACACGAATGCAAGTCATTATTATACATTATTATAGCTCATATTATTTGTCAAGCTTTCTCTGTCAGTGTTCCTTCTTTAAGGAATACTGAAACAGTTCTTCACAAATAACTAGCATTTGTAAATAGCTTTTTTGATCTCTTGCATCCTCAAAAATGTATTTTAGTGTATTAAAGCTGGTCAGCTTTTCCTATTTGCTGTGTCATATTGCATTGACATTGGCACTAGTGCAACTGAAAATGTTGATTATAGTCTATTTAGTTATTAATATTGCAGAAACAAGTTGTAGAGTCAAAACAATGAAAATATGTCCTTTCTAGCTCATGCTGAGAGCTGTCTGCTGGTCTGAAGATTATGCTGAGAGAATTAACAGTGAAGGAGATAGGCTTAATCCTCAGAATGAGTGTTGCTTCCCTTGTGGATACAATGCACATGCATGACTTGCCTTTTAATACACTGAAGTGCTAAGAAGACATGTAGAAATGAGGAGTAAGACTTACAGTTGTAGCAGGGATAAAATGAAACAAAACCAATGAATACTCAGTTTTCTGTCTTTGTCTTCCTTATACATTAATCTCCGTTTTGTCTGAACCTTTGCAAACAGTTACAAAAATCCATTTACTTTCTGTGGTGATTTAGTTCAGATTCTATCATTCTTCTGGTATTTTACATTTATTTGCTTAATACATAAATAATAACTCTTTGGTAGTGCTCCTCTTTTTCCTTTCAGCAACTTTTAGAGGGGAAAAAAGGTTATAGCAAAAGTTGTGCACCTATTTCTTTTAGAAGAAACAGTTTAATAAATAAAAGCTAGAAGTTCAAAGGCTGTATGTGGCTACCAGTGGGTTTCTCCAAACACTGGAAGCATCTGTTGTAATTCTGCCCTAATGATGACTAATCAGTAAGTTGTCCAAAAAATGATGGAAATGCTTGGGCTTTTCATTTCTTTTCTTCTTTTCAATAGCATTAGACTCAGTCTGCATACAACAAAAAGTAAGCATGCTGAGTTTTTGGCAACAGATATTTCATGGCCTTGGATTTTTAAATATCTAATGCTTTCGTTTTCCACGCTATTCTAGCAAATCATCATTTTCTGAGTTATTGCCAACATATCATATATATGATGGAATTTGTGGTCAGGATAATGTTGGAGTCAAAGTCAGCATATTTTCACCTACAACAATTAGTTAATGTTCATACAGCACTTTCTGTGGATGTAAAGAACTCTTCAGTGTTCAATATTACCCAGAATTATCTTCAGTAATCTTACTTTAGATGTCAGTGTTTTTTTGGGAAATGCATTGGTAAGCACATGTACTTCTTTTTTTAAGAGCTTAGAAGATAGCACAGTAACAGAATTGTATATTACATGTTTTTTTTACTTCCAAGTTTATAGAGACTTTTACAATGAAAATTAGTGTTCATTTTTTCTGCATGTAAAATATTTTTCTCCCTCATGCTCCTCCCTTTTAAAATAAGAATTCCATCTGCAATGCAGAGTTCTCCATCTTTACTTTCTCTGAGATTAGGGTGTGATGAGTATCATTTGGCTCTAACATGAATATAATAATTATGTAGCTATTGCTCATGCCTTCATACATCTGAATTTTCAAGAAAATTTTAAAAGGGAGCCAAGTATCCACATATGTCTCTGGTTAAAGCATTCTGTTGGCTACCATATCCTTTTCATCTCCTTAGTGCAGCTAATGGGTCAAGTCCTCTGTTTCCCTTTATTTCATTTAACTGTGGAGTGTGCAAAACTTTAATTTACAGATTTTTTTCTGTAATTCATCCACAATTTTTTCTTTATAGACTTTCATTCAGGGAAGGTGGGGGCACAGAAATATTGTGGCCTATGAAACATTTTATTTAACAGAGATTTCGTCATAAATATCTCTCAGTTGTATTCTGGCAAGCCATGTGTTCCCATCATCTCCTCTAAGTTCACAGAGCCATTTGTTGTTGCGTGAGATTTCTGTATTGGGTAGCTTTGCCATGTGTTCAGTAATTTGTTCTAACTAGCTTAGTGTTAATTAGATTTAATGAGTATTTTGCAAATGTAATATTCAGGGTCATATGCTGTGGCTTATTTCTTTGGGGCTTGTTTGGGGTTTGAACTTATTATTATTGTATTTGCTTGCTTATT